AGGCAAATACAAGCTGGTGCGGAAGATTGGGTCGGGATCCTTCGGGGACATCTATTTGGCGATCAACATCACCAACGGGGAGGTAAGGGCTGCTCGCACTCCCTCACCTCCTTGGGCCTGTCGGCGCGGTCCCTTCCGCACTTCGGGGTGAACCGGAGACCAGCAATAACCTTCCCGAGGCCGACCTGAAGCCTGGGTTTGCCCCCCTTGCCCCCGGTGTCGCTGCCTGCGAGGCACGGGGCGGCCCCGTCTCTCCAGGGTGGCTAAGCCGCCCTCCGCGGGGTGGGGAAGTGAAGGTGCGTACCCCGGGGTTGAGGGGCTTCCCCCGCCTGAGGGCCTTCATCGCCGGGGGGGTGGCAGTGCCCCTTCCGATAGCAGAGCCGTGCGGTCATGGTCTCCCCCACCTAGCAGTTGCATAGCTTGCTTGCGAGTGTTAGAGAGAGGAGACCACCATTGTGGGAAAACATACTTTGTCTTTTATGAGTGGCCAAAGTCGTCCCTCTCCTGCCAATCATCTATCCCCCTCTCTCTCAACTGGGGAATGCTATCTCATTTTTATCAACAGTAATAGAAACAATGAAGATCCCTTGTTTCTTCAGCTCTCTTTTTCTTGTTTTGGTTTTTTTTGTTGTTTTTTTTTTTTCTTCCTCCCCCTCATGGCTCTGAGCTGTAAAGAAGAAACACCCACGTATGTTCTTCCTCACTTACATGGATCTGAAGACTTTACATCTCCAGCTCAATTTCATGACCTGGGATGGATATTTATGTACAAATCATCATGATATGGATTTTATTTGAAGACACAACAAAATGCAGGACGTTGAGCATCAAGAGCTTAAAAAAAAATTATACCTCAAAGCATTTGCAGCAGGGGTGTGTGGGAGATGTTGAAGTGCTGTGCCCCTTAAACCTCAGTGGCAAGGCTGTGCTTGGTGGACACTCTGCTCTGACTCCTTGTTCCCTCTCACTGTAGGAAGTTGCTGTAAAGTTGGAGTCTCAGAAGGCTAGACATCCCCAGCTGCTGTATGAAAGCAAACTATACAAGATTCTGCAGGGAGGAGTTGGCATCCCACATATACGGTAGGAATCATTCATGTATGCCAGTACAGTGACTTTTCTTTGATGTTGGTGTGAGGCAGAACAGCACCATTAAAAAGAGATTTATCTGGGAGGGATTGGGCTGATGGGGGGGAAAAATGCTCCATTCTAGGCTCTACAACTAGTTGGGTATCCTCCTCACCGGCCCACTGTCTTTTCTTATCTGTACATACTGTGCTTTGAAAGTGAGATCTTCAGCAGTTCCTGAGCTGTGAGAGATTCTTGTGATTAGAACAAAGTGTGAGACTGTTTCGGTGAGAGCCAATGTTCTTGATGAGGTTGAGAGTTTGGAGCCGGTACTAGAAATGGCTGCTTTCTTTTGTTGCTTGCTTTTTTTTTTTTGTTCCAACATGTCTTCCTCCTCCGCTCAGAAAATGGCGGATGGACGTGATTAACCCTCCCCCTTCTCGTGTTGGGACAAGGGACGTGCTCAGGCATGTATCTTTTCCTTTCATAGTTATGTGCTGCAGTGCTTGAGACTGCAGAGAACCTCAACCAGGAATGAAATGGCAGCCCCTTTCAGTTACCCGCAACAGACGCGTCACTAGGATTTCCGTACAGTTAAAGTGCCAAGATTAATCCCTCCCAATTGCTCGTTATGCAGCTTCCTTGTTTCATATTCTGTCTGAAACTTTCAATAGTGTTTAATTTCCTGATCTGGAAGAAAATCACTGGTGCAGCAGACCCTAGGAAGAGTTATTTGTCATGAGATTATTGAGGTGTTAATACTGGGTTAGTTCCTGCCTACTGAATCTATGCATCAGAATAGATTAAATGAAAGTTCAGTTTTCGCCAGAAAGACTTTGTACAAGAAGTTGTTCTTTTTTTAAACTTTGTTAATAATTGTTTTTAAAGTTAGTATTTCTTATGCTTGCACTATGGCATAAAGAAATTTTGTTCCTTGAGCTGCAGAAACGATTTCAATTTGGATATTGGGTCAAACTGTGGATTCCATTTAATCTGTTAACCCTTCTCTGACTTTGCTGTATGTGCACCTATATCAATAGTGGTCTGTAGGGTCTATTGTAAGGTCATAATGTTGACATATTCTAGATCATGTATTAGTTTTAACAAAACCTAAACCAAGCCTGCATTTCTGAGGTTAATAGCTCCCCTCCTTCCCCTTCCCCCCCCAAACACAACTGGCTGTAGTCCTGAACGTAAGCTGGAGCTATATAGCGGAGGAGACCTGGCCATCTGTCCTCATTCACTATAGCCTTTTGCAGGAATAGAAGAAACATACCTGAATTAAGCAGAATACTTGCAGCTTAAACAAAGTTGCTTATGTGAAAATAGATTTAGATTTAGTCTTTATTTTAGACTAGAGTTTCCTTCTTTTCTTCAAATGGGTGCCTCTATTTCACAACTGAAAGAATAGAAATTGCATTTTGGAAAGCTATCACAGTATAGTTACATGCTAAAACAAGGATTACTGGGAAAACAGCCAAAGCAAGCGGGTATCAGGTGTTTCATCACAAAACTGGAAAAGCAGGCATTCTTAAACTACTGTTTTGAAAAAGTAAACGAACGTTTGGTGCTATAATAAGGCCGAAGTTGCAAATTTTTCAACTTTTCTGTGTAACAGAAGTGAACTACTGTTTAAGTTCTTGGATTTGGTTAAAATGCCCCGTGACAGCATTTTATTTAAATCTGAAATACTGGGAGTAATCTTGCACGTTGAGAAACTTGCTTCTAGCTTCAATTACAGCAGTCATCTTTAAGTTTTCTTTCCTCTGTATTTGATGTTCTTGTATCTGACTTTTTCTGTATAACCAGTGACTGTGGTTTAGAAGTCTCACCACCACAGGGGAACTACAACCTTTCTTTAATACACACTTCCTTCCTCCTCCCTCACCCCCCCCACCC